CTCTGATGGGCTGCTGGAAGTCTGCTCGAGTGCCTCTAGGGCCCTGTTCCCAGACGCAAGAGCAGCCCGACACTTGGAAACAGGAACGTGAGGCGTCCAGGCGTCAGGGGTGAGAGAACGGGTCCAGGGATACTTGGGAGAAGTGAGAGGACTTGGGGGTGGGCGACATGCGGCAGGTGACGGGCGGGAGCAGTCACAATGACCCAAGCGATGGATGTGGGCATCCCTCACTGGGGCAGGACACACAGGTCAAGACTCTAAGTGACATGAAGAGATCAAACTGGACGTGGTGCGACGGACCCGGTGGGCCGTCTGTCCCCGTATTCACGGCTTGTTTATTTAGGTCCAGGCTCTGGAGGACAGAAGTCTAGACTCACAGCTGCAGGCACTTCCATCTCACTGCAGAATTCTCAGTGCCCACAACAGGGCCTGGTCCACGGTAGACCAGGGGCGCTGGCTGAGGGGACGCATGCGTGACTGCCTATGGGCAGGCCACACAGATGTGAAGCTCAGCCTGTGTCAGCTTCCGGTGTGCCCCCGCCCCAGGCCTGGAAGCCACCACAGGAAGACCCGGAAGTTACGTGTGGAACTCACACACCTGGCTAGCGTGGCTTTGAGTGCAACCCAAAAAGCGTGGGGAGTGGCTCGGCCACCACAGGGTGCCCCTCTTCTACTCATCACACCGACAGACGACGCTCGAAGTAAGTGTGTGAGGGAGCTCTGGGTTTTCAAGGCTCAGCCGGCCCAGACTGCACAGTGGGCAGACATCTCCTGGCTCTCGGTCTGGAAGGCTCTAAGCCAACTGAGCCCTCCCGGTCCTGGACGGCAGGGAGCATGGAGGCGGAGAGGCAGAGGCCACCGTTACCTCGGCCGCCCCCATCGGGCGCAGCTCGTCCCCGTGGAAGTTGATCAGCAGCCCCATGGCCTTGCCACGCTGCAGGATCCGCCGAGTGGTGTCCAGGTCAAAGACACCCTCCTCGCAGAACACATCGATGTTGTCCACATGCACCTCTCCCGTCCTGATGAGCTCCTGCAGTCGTGGTAGGTGCTTCTGGACAATGTCATCGGCAGCTTCCGATGCGGTTTTTCCCCTGGGGGGGGAGGCGAGATTACCGTGGGCACTTTCGTGGACATACAGAGACCCTGAGAATGAGCATCGGCCAATGGCCACGAGCCTCAGCGGGGCAGAGGAGACATCAAAGTTCTAAGGCAGGACCCTCGCCCATTGGGCCCCCTAAAAGCCTGTGGCATTGAGCATCTCCGTTACCAAAGCTTAGGACCACGAAAGAACTGGGAGATCCCGGGTGGCGTGCTCGAGGCCCATTTTTTTGGAATGGCTCTGTGAGTTCTGGAACCAGAGCCCTTCCTACCTAGACACTCCAGGCCCGCGGGGAGCCTGAATGGACACGACACGGCCCGGAGGGGACAGAGTCTCTCCCGTAAGGCTGCGGAGAAGCAGCTTTTTAAACAAAGGCTAAAGGCACTGGCCACAGCAAAAAGGACATGCTTGCTGTGAAGGAAGAAACAGGAGCCGAGAGGCGCACTCAGGCACCAGCGGCAAGCTTGGCTCCGCCTCCTGCCGGTGCTGCTGTTCGCTCCCGGGGTGCCGTGACCCAGGCAGCCATCACCGGAAACGCTGCGATTAAGCCCTGTCATCCGAAAGGACCCACGGGCGCCGCTCTGCTCACACCACAAGAGCCCAGGCGCGGTCCTCCCCCCAGAAGCCCAGCGGGGGGTGGCGGCGGTGGCTCCTCCAGCCGCGAGCTGCGAGGGGGTCCCGCATCCTTCCTAGCGTGGCCCTGGCTCCCCGCAGGAACAAGAGCAGGGCCCCCATGCGGTCCTCAGGCCCCCTCTCCCGCCTTCTTCAAGCCCTGAGTAGCCTCCCACGTGGCTCTCCAGGCTCTGAGTCTCCCCCCAGTGCCCCTGTTCTCCAAGCCCCGAGTCCCCCCAGGCTACCTGGGCACGGCGTGCGCCCCGCAGTAGGTGGTGGAGATGCCCACGCCACCCTGGCGCCGGGCGCGCTCCAGCACACGCAGCATCTTGAGCTCGGTGTCCAGGTCCAGGCCATAGCCGCTCTTGCCCTCGACCAGCGTGGTGCCCGCGCGCACCATGGCCTGCAGCCGCCGCACCAGTGCCTCGAACAGCTGCTCATCCGAGGCCTGGCGCGTGTGCTCCACCGTGTAGTGGATGCCCCCACCGGCCCGGTGGATGTCCATGTACGAGGCGCCTGCCAACTAAGCACAGCCCCACCGTCAGCCAGCACCAGCCAGAGCCGCCGCCAGGGACACCACACGTGGCCGAGAAGCCTCGTGGCACCCGCCTGCCATCCCAGGACTGGGGAAGGCTGAGGCGGGAGGATCGCTTGAGCCCAGGGGGTGAAGACCCGCCTGGACAATTTAACAAGACCCCATCTCCATAAAAATAAATACTAAAAGTGGGTTTAAAATGCAAAAATATATAAAGGGAAAAGCTGTCAAAGGACTCCTGTGTCTCAAGGACTCAGGAACCAGCCTAAGTAAGTTCCTCCTAGCCACGGACAAAGTCGTGGTAACTGATTAGAAAAATAACCTCAATCGATTAAAACATATCAAACACTCACACCCATGAGTCCATAATGATATTTAAACATGCGAGGGACACCAGGCACGCTGGCACATCCCTGGAATTCCAGTCCTTTGGGAGGCTGAGGCGGGAGGGTTGCTTGAGCCCAGGGGATTGAGACCAGCCTGGGAGACAGAGTGAAACCCGTCTCTAAAAACGTGGGGGAAACAAATCAGAAGAAAGGTAGGAAGGACGGAGAGACGGAGGGAAGGAGGGCGGGAGGAGGAAGGAGGGAGGGAAAAGCAGCGTCTTGGCCCAAGCACCAGCAGGTCAGGTCAGAAGGGCCGATGGACACGTGGCCCCGGAGGCCTCACGGCCAGACGCGGGCTTGCAGGGAGCAGGGGAGGGTCCTGGAAGGGCTGGAGCTGCAGGACTGGGCCATGTGGCCGGTGGATGCTGGGGCCTCGGGGCGGCTGCTCTTCCAAGCCGGTCGGGAGGAAGGCGTTCGGTGCTCAGCGGCCCCCTCGTCCCCGGGTGCCCGGCCTAGCCGCAGCCTCCCCAGGCCCCTCGGCTGGAGAAGGCAGAGCGGAGGCGGCGCTGGGAGCCCCACAGCCTCCGCCGCAGAGACCGAGGGCGCTTCCACGGCCCGATATCTGGCGCCCGAGTCTGCAGCGTGACCCTTGCTGCGCAAGCGAATGCAGAGGCTCTTCCGGGGTCCTGTGGGCAGCAAGGAGTGCAGTGCAGACCCCGGGGACCTCGGGCCAGGGCTCCCCTGGGTCTGCCCCCTCCGGCCAGCGCCTTCCACCCACACCCTGTGCTTCTCTGGACCTGCCCTGCCTGTGTCCAGGGAGGTAGCTCTTGGCTCTGAAATTCTGTGATGTCATAAAACTGTCTTCAAAACAGCTCTGGTTTGCCAAGGAAGGGGCATACTAGCGAAAGAAAAGAATTAATTTTTCTTAAATAAGCCAGTTTAGCTGCTACCATGCACATTTTTTTTTTTTGGATTTGGAGTCTCACTCTGTCTCCCAGACTGGAGCGCAGTGGCCGCTCCCGGCCACCGCAGCCTCGACCTGCTGGGCTCCGGCGATCCTTCCGCCTCAGCCTTCCGAGTAGCTGGAACTACAGGCGCGCGCTACCACGCCCAGCTAGTTTTTTGATTTATTATAGAGACAAGGTCTCACCAAGTTGCCCAGGCGGGTCTCGAACCCGCGGGCTCAGGCCATCCACTCACCTCAGCCTCCCAAAGCGTGGGATGACAGGCTGAGCCACCGAGCCCGGCTCACATTTTTGTTTCCTTAACAGTGTGACAGTGGCTCCAACCAGGGACTTAGGAGTTGACTACAGCTAATATACAACTAACACAGATGATGTTCTATGATTCTTTTTCTTTTTTTTGTGTCAGGGACTCACACACTGTTGCCCAGGCTGGAGTGCAGTGGCAGGCTCATGGCTCACCGCAGGCTTGAACTCCTGGGCCCAGACAATCTTTCAGCCTCAGCCTCCCAAGCAGCTGGGATGGCACCAGCATGCCTGCCAATTTTTGGACATTTTTTAAAGAGAAGGTCTCATTATGCTGCCCAGGCTGGTCTTGACCTCTTGGCCTCAAGCGGCTCTCTCACCGCAGCCTCCCAAAGAGCTGAGATCATGGGTGTGAGCCACCGGGCACAGCTATGATTCTTAGTAAGTGTCATTTTTCTGAAAAAAGATAACAATATAAGTAAGGCACTTGATTTTGTGATTAGCAATGTATTTTTCCAAGCTTGGCTCCCATGAATCGTGATTTTCAAACTGTTTCTTGGAGCCCTTTCAAAGGCCACTGGAGGTCGTGATTTGGAATGGGGAGAAGGAAGAAGAGGGGAATTAGAGGGCGAGACAGCTCAGCTGTTTCTAGAGGCTGAGGTGAAGGAGGGGACGGGAGAGGGGACGGCTTGAGCCCAGGAGTTCGAGGCCTGCGTGGACAATAGCAAGGCCCCTCCCATCTCTAAAGAAAAATAAAAAGAAACAGGATGCTACAACCAAGCATTTCAAAAACTACAATACTGAAAATGGCCCCGAGCCCTGGGCACGACGTAAGGCTTGGGGCGTTCTCACTAAGCTCTGCCGTCACGTGCTGCCATGCCCGGGCGGATCACCGCGTGGAAAGAAAGGGCGGCCGCAGCCGCAGAGCACGCCGGCCCGGTCGCCCTTCGGGAAGGGACTCTGCACTTGGCCTGCTGTGGACCGCCCGTTCCCTGTCGCAGGTACCTTCATTGCAAACTCGTGCACTCTGTCCCCGTCCCACACCGGATGCGTGTGTGCGTCCACCAGACCTGCAATCAGAAAACCAGCCCTCGTGAGGCTGGGGGTCGGAGGGTGCCACAGCCAGCCAGGTGCTGCCCCTGGGAGACACCGTGGGCCGCCATCCGTAGGGGGAGGAGGAATCTGTCCCATGCTGTCCTCGCAGCGGAGAGGAAGACTGCCTGGGGCGTGGCTGTCCAGCTGGCTCGGGGGAGGTGGCGTGACTTGACAAAAACACTCTCCACAGGGAGGTGGCGCCTCCACACCGAGTTCCCAGCTCATGAGATCGACTCTCAGTCCAGGCTGCCAGGCCCGCCGGGTAGCAAGAGCCAGGACCACTTCGCCCAGACGTGACCTGCGTGTGCACACTGAACACTATACCCGCCCCCACCCCGAGGGGGAAGTGTGAACGGGGTGAAGGGGAAGCTGGAGGGTCCGTGGCAGCCGCGAGACTCTGTCCCGGTGCTCTCTAGAACGTGCAAACACCTACGGACCAAATGGCTCTCTGGGGGCTCTGGGTGGACTCCGATCAGAAGTCCTGGCTCAGACCGCGTCCGCCACAGTCCTCCTCTCAGAACAATTCACCCGACTTATCTCCTGACCCAGGAACGAGAACAGAGAAGCTGTCCGACGTTCACAGCAAACAGCTCAGAGATAGAGACGTCTCCGTAGACGATATCAAAATATATGATATTATCTTCTATTATCTATATTAAAATATAGACTTTTTTTTTTTTTTTGAGTTGGAGTCTCACTCTGTCACCCAGACTGGAGTGCAGTGGCCGCTCCCGGCCACCGCAGCCTCACCTGCTGGGCTCTGGCGATCCTTCCACCTAAAATATAGACTTTTAAGTAAAAGTTTATGTATGCATGGTGGCTCATGCCTATAATCCCAGCACTTTGGGAGGCCGAGGTGAGAGGACTGATTGAGCCCACGGGTTTGAGACCAGCCTGGTCAACTTGGAGAGACCTCATCTTTACAATAAATCAAAAAAGTAGTCAGGCATGGTGGTGTGTGCCTGCAGTTCCAGCTACTTGGAAGGCTGAGGCAGAAGGAATACCTGAGCCCAGCAGGTCGAGGCTGTGGTGGCCGTGAGCGTGTCACTGCACTCCAGCCTGGGTGACAGAGTGAGATTCTGACAAAAAAAAGCTTATACATGTATATTATTACATTTATATCTACAACCTAACTGTATTATATTTGTATGTTCATGTATGTGTATATTATAAATATGTAATATACTTATATAATAGTATATGACATGTAATATAATATCATATCGTGGTATATATCTGATATGGTATATATATTTTAAATAAATAAATTTGATATATTTTATAGCACATTATTACATATTATTTATGTCACATGAAAATCTATACTTTTACATAACCTTTGACTTAAAAGGAAACGTGAAGCCCGTGTTGGTGTGGAACTCAGACTTGTGAAGCCTGCTTTAGATGGCCACGTGAAGCCACACGACAGACACTGCATGAGGCGGCGGCGGATACGAGGTTCTGCTGTCGATCACTACAGACGTAAGAGACCTGGGGTGGGATGTCCAGGGCGTTTTTCTCCCCTGCCTGGAGCAGGTCCCTTGGTTCCCACCCTGTACACATCGGGGGCGTTCCTGTCATCAGGGGAGAGCCGCGGCCGTGTCCCTGTCAGTGGGTGAACAGTGTTCTTTGACTGTTTTGAGCCTCAGCACCGCACCGCGGGCCTCTCCGTGGGCAGGAGGGGGTGGAGCGAAGGAGTGAGTTCAACTCCCAGCACGTCCTTGCCTGGTTAGTAGCCCTGGGTGAGAGGCTCAGCCCGCCCTCCGCCTTCTCACCGGGCACGCGTAGACGGGGACCCCTCCCGAGGGCAGCTGTAAGGATCAGCGGGGCTCACGCTGGCGACGCAGCGAGACATCCGGCAGCAGAACATCGCTCCACGGAGCTGTGGTGACTTGTGGTCTCTGCTGCATAGACCCTGCTTAGAGCAAGCAGCTGTTCTTCCCTCGACACCCTAGAGCGAACCTGGAAACCCCAGCTCGAGCGTCCCCACGAGAGAGGTACCTGGCAGGACGCACTTCCCAGTGCAGTCGATCACCTCATCGAACGCCTCCTCGGGAAACTGTCTCCGGATAGCATCAGCAGGACCGATGGCTTCTATCAGGCCATCACTGAGGAAAAATCCAGAAATCACAGGGAGGCTTGGGGAGATCTTGGAGAAACCTGACTAGTGATTGAAACTAGGTTTTCAGAGGCCGGGGTGTCAAGGAACCAACATCCACTGTGCTTCCTTCTCGCACCCAAGTCCTTGGGGAGTGACCCTAGCCACGTCCAGACGGAAGCAGCTGGCCCCAAGAGCAGCATTCCCCTCCGCTCAGCCCTAGGGCCCTGCGGGTCCACTGCACACACCGCAGAGAAGAAAGACCACGCCTCCGGCCCCCTACCTGGCCACGCCCTGACAACAGGGCTGTCTTCCCTCCCCGCCTGCTGGCTGCGACGTCGACACCATAATCAGGGACAGCAGCTCTGGGATTGTGGAGAAAGTGGCCACGCAGGCAGAGCATGCAGACCTGAGGACCCCAGCCAGCCCATGCCGGAGGGACACGTGCTTCCCTCTCGCTTCGGCCCCAGCGGACATGGGGCTTGCTCACTCCCCGCAGACCGAGTTCCCGCCTCGGGAGCCAGCGGCAGACCTGAGGACTGAGTGCTGTCAGCCGCAGGTAAGGGCTGGGGCGCCCGCAGCGGGAGCCAGAAGCGGGACTCGGGTGGTCTGGATGAGGGGGCGGACACCGGAGGAAGGGCAGCTGGCACCAGGGAAGGCGAGTACCGGCCGTGGGTGTGCCAGGCAGGACGCACTTTGGGGGGGCGGTGTCGGGGGCGGGTGTGACGCGGGGCCGACCAGAGCGGCCTGGAGGAAAGGCTCGAGCCAAGGCAAGGTCTCGCTCGGGCGCTCTGCATCCTGGCCAAAGGTGTGGCACGCCGCCTGCCACCCACCACCCGGAGGGCGGCTCCGAGGCCCACGCTTCCAGGTGCACGTCGGACAGAGGAAGCCTTTGCCACCACCGGACCACCACGGGACAGCTCGCCTTGAGGCAGCCACCCAATTCCACGTCGGCTCCCTCACAGACCTGAATCCCTCCCAGCTTCCTCCGTGCTTGGTTACCAAACAAACGTGCTGAGCTAGTTCAGGGCCACTTCTCCCCCATCCGAGGAAAGTGTCCCCCGGCCCCAGCTTTCCTTTGTGTCTTTGTGTCTGTGTCTTTCTTCCTCTCTCACCACTCTCTCCTGGGACCCTCAAGGTGGTCGCAGGCAGAGAAGCAGGGCAAGGAGGGTTTTTCTCTCTCGCTCGCTCAGGCTGGAGTGCCGTGGCGCCACCATGGCTCACCGCAGCCTGGACTTCCTGGACTCAGGCGATCCCCCTGCTTCGGCCTCCAAAGGAGCTGGGACTACAGGCACAGGTCACCACACCCGGTTATTTTATTATGATTATTTATAGAGGCGAGGTATCACCATGTGGCTCAGGCGGGCTTGAACTCCTGGCCTCAAGCAACCCTCCTGCCTCGGCCTCTCAAGGTGCCAGGATTGCAGGCCGAGCCACCATGCCCAGCCAAGAAATTAAGTTGTGAACTTCAGCACCCAAGGTTCACCAGCCCTTCCTCACTAGTGGCTTCTACTTGGCCCGAAGAATCCACCCAGTGTCCAGTGAACCAGGGGGTGGAAAGACCAGCAGGCTTTGAAACCGGCCCTTGGGTCGAAGAGATGCTTTCTTGGGGCAATGTCTGTTCCCTTCTCTCAGAACGGTCGCGCGTGGCACAAAGCCACGTGAACCGGGAGCCACGAAGACCCAACACGCCGATCCAGGCCAGGAGTGACCGATGGCCACTGCTCTAGGAGGGGCTGTCTGAACCAGGTCAGAGCCTGGAAACAAATCCCTGACATCCTCAGCGTGGGCGGGCAGAGGACTTCCAGGGCCTGGTCCTCTGCCCCGCCCGCTAGCCCAAGCTAGCCCGACCTCTAAGACACAGACCTGTCGTCTACAGTGAACCCTACTCACATCTCAGTCAGGTTCTTGTCCACGAACAGTTATGGAAAGAAACCAAAAGCATTTTGGTTTTTTAAAGTAGCCACTAAAAATCACAAAGACATGTATTAATGCTGTGAAGAGACTGCTACTAGTCATCGCTAAGTAAAAAAAGAGCACAGAGTACAAGAAATATACACAGATTCCTTTTCTAGAATATATATATATATATATATATACATATATATATATACTCTTCCTCCAGTGCTCTTCCTCTGGTGTCCGCCCCCCTCATGCAGACCACTTTAATTATATATATATATATATTTTTTTTTTTTTTTTTTTTTTTACACGTGGAGTCTCACTCTTCGCCCAGACTGTAGTGCAGTGGCCGCTCCCAGCCACCACAGCCTCGACCTGCTGGGTTCCAGCAATCCTTCCCCTCAGCCTTCCGAGTAGCCGAAACTACAGGCGCACGCTACCACGCCTGGCTTACTTTTTTTTAATTTATTGTAAAGATGAGGTCTCGCCAAGTTGCCCAGGCGGGTTCTCGAACCCACGGGCTCAGGCAATCCACTCACCTCAGCCTCCCAAAGCGCGGGATTACATGCTGAGCCACCGAGCCCGGCTGAGTGTATATTTTTATGTGATTCTATTTGCACAAGAAACTTCTGGAAGGAGAAGCCCTTAAACATTCGTTCCTTTTTTCTTTTTTAAATTAGAGTCTCATGCCGCCACCACCCAGGCTGAGTGCTCTGAACAGTTGAAGGAGAAAAAATTCCACACAATCCAGCAACCTGCCAGCTAGAACCGCCCGAGAGGCTGAAGGGGACCTGGCCTTGTGGAAGTGGCAGCAGGGATGTCTCTGGGAGGCTTAGGGTGGACACACCCCCACACACCCGCACAGGTCCTGGGACCAAAACTGCTCTTACTGGGAGGATAACTGGCCACCTCTTCCCGCCCCGCGGCTGAGCGAGGAGCCCTCTGCAGTGTCCTCTAAGCCCGCCTGGACACACCTCTCTGCTCTGACTCGCCTCGCTGCTCAGCCCTTGTGGACTTTGAGCTCTCTGAGGTCAGGGCCAGTCTTAGTCAATCTGTGTCCCAAGAGCTGAGCCCTAACTGCAATGTACTAAGCCCAACAAACGCCGAGAGCCACGTAACAGCCTCCAATCGAAGCCTCACCTTGCTTGCCACAGTCGCTTCCCCCACCCCCCACCTTTTCGTTCCCTGTTCTATGTGGTTCTGCCTTGAACATAGAGAGGACGCGTCCTGGGATCCAAGATTCCCTCCTGGTGCCGCGACTCTAATTTCCACAGGAACTCTGGTCATTTTCTCCACTTCCCAAGCAAATTTTAAACACATTTTTAAGAGTAAAGCTAGGAACGTCTCGTCTCATTCTTCGTTAAAAACAAACGGTCGCCCACAGTCCGCGGAAGCCGGGTGCCTGCACCATGAAGGTTGCCGTGGACCAGCGGCAGTGGGTCCCCGAGACTGATTCAGCACAAGCAGTCGCGGCGCCCTGGGCTCCTAGGACTCAAATCTGCGTCCACTCGCGTCCCTACTCCAGCCCACCCTCGCAGGCGCTGCCTGTTCATTCACTCGCAGCTGGGGGAAAACTCAGACCATTAAGAGAAATGCTTCTTGCCCTGGGAGCCAAATCTTGGATTCCTATCACTCAAGCTATCACCATCTCGAGGTCTCCTTTCTCTCTCCTTCTCTCTCTCCTTCCTTCCTTCCTTCCTTCCCTCCCTCGCTCCCTCCCTCCCCCCTTCCTTCCTTCCTTCCTTGTCGCGTGTCGCGGCCTCGACCGCTGGGCTCCAGGGATCCTTCTGCCTCAGCCCTGGAACTACAGGCATGCACCACCACGCCTGGCTACTTTTTTGATCCACTGTAGAGATGAAGTCCCACCACGTCGCCCAGGCTGTTCTTGAACCCCCGGGCTCAGGCAGTCCTCTTGCCTCAGCCTCCCAAAGTGCTGAGATGACGGGTATGAGCCACCGTGCCTGGCACTTCCAGTGTTTCTAAAGCTTTAGGGCACAGATCAGGGAAACATGAGGACTTCTTCAACGTTTGGGTCTCGGAGCTCCAGCCCCAGAGATGCGGAATCTAAAGGTCTGAGGCAGGGAGTCGGGGAGGGAGCTGCAGCCGGGAGAAAACCAGAACCCTAACCAACCAACAAACAAGAACCGCACACGTCCGGCCTGAGCAACAGAAGGAGGCCCTGTCTCTGCCAAAAGAAGTTTAGTTAGCCGGGCACGGCGGCTCGTGCCTGCATCCCGGCCCTTTGGGAGGCCGAGGTGGAGGGCGGCGGCGTCCGGGAGTCCAAGGCTCCCGAGAGCGGGGCTCCGCCA